AAGAAGTAATAATTTTAGATCCATTTGTAAATAGATGCTGTCCTCCTGAGTTTCCTCAGCATTCCACCTAGACCACATGTGATTTCCCTAAGGATTTCCTGAATATCTCCATCACCCAGAAGTGAAAGGGTAACTTATGGAACAAGGAGAGTTGCACTTTTTCTGTTGCCATGTTTGTTCCTGTCATTCTGGCTGTTAAATGTTTGGAATATTGCCCATGGATTCAGTGCACGACTGTGTCCCAGGAGAAAAAGTCAGGTGGATATTTGGACATCTAAAAATGTGAGGTGTGCAAACCCTCTTTTTAGTGCTTTTTGTTTTTCTGTAAGATAAAAAGGCTGCGTAAAAATGGGCAGGAGCCTTGTAGGTATGAGAGAAAATGTGAGTCTTAATCTGGCAGAATAGCAAATGGATTGGTAAGGGAGGTATGTAGAACTCAGTAGATCAATCATGCTTAAGATATTGCCCTGAAAATATAAAAGAGGAAGACAGAAGCTAAAGGGTTTAAGGTGCTTAGTAGGAATGATTATAAAAACAAGCCATTGGCCAAACTAATAATTGGGCAAGTGACAGTCAGTAATAAGATGGCAGTGCAAACAAATGGTAGATTCTGATATGGTTAAGAATTGTTGAAGTGGAGATACCAGGGAAAGAGAAGTGATTAGAAGTAGTTGATATAGATTGGGGTGTTGAGCTGGAAGAATGGTTCTAATTTTCAGAAATGACACAAGCATTTGACACAATGAGTGGCAGTCTTGAATGTATTCAAAGAAGCTAAAAATACATAAGAATAGGTGAACATATGTTTAAAAAGCAGCAGTAAGATACAAATACAATAATAATGGCAGCTCCAGATTCAGTGGGATGCAGGGTATACAAGAAACTAACCAGAGATATGTTGGAAAATAAATCCTCAAGTGATAATCGGGTTTCGGCATGGAAGAAGAAAAAAGATTATTCAAACACGGGATATAGGGGATATTGTGATCTTGGATTCTCAGGGTAGAGTGAAAGGATCTGGGTACCTAGGGTTACCTAGCCTGAGTACGATTATAAAATACTTTTATGGTAGGAGAGACCAGGTGACAGTGCTTTCACACTTGGGGTAAACATGTAGTTTGGAAAGATAAACGTGCCAATTATCTTCTTTATGTGCTGAATTGTGTCTTTCTCCCAAACTGATATTTTGAAGGGCTAGTCTCAGTACCTCATAACATGCTTATATTAGGAGATGGGACATTCGGGAGTAATTATTTTATTTATTTCTTTATATTTATTGTGCTTTTGGGTTCCACCTAGCAGTAATCAGGACTTACTCCTGACTCTGAACTGTGTGATCACTCCTGGCTGGTAAGAGACTCCATTTGTGATGTATGGGAGCTCAAACCCAGGTTGGCTGCATGCAAGGCAAGCATCTTACCTGCTGTAAAGTCTTTCCAGTCTGAGAAGTAATTATTTCTAGAGGAGGCTGTTTAGATCAGGTTCTAATCTCATCTAACTGATACCATCCTTCATAGGCGAAGGAAGTTCGGGCAGAGGGACACTGGATGTGCATAGACATGGAAAATTCCATGTGATACAAGAGACCATAACTAAATCAAGAAGCCATAAGTCAGAAGATCAAAAACTGCCAACATTTTGATCTTGCACTTCTTCTTTCAGAACTCTGAATGAAAATAAATTTCTATGTGTAAACTAGCCACTCTAGGGCCTTATGCTATGACAGCCTTCCTTGAGGAATATGGTGAGTTGGATAGTCAGTGCTAACTGTACCCTTTGTTTTGAAACTTTTTTGATAATTGACCTGAGCTAAGGCACATGTGTCAAGAGGAGAAGAAAACAGAGTCTTTCCTGGTACATATAAACTCTGAGGGTCCCTTTTCTTGTCAACCTCTTGCTGCAGGGTTTCCTTAAGTTGATATTCTTAACACTGGTTTAGAACATTAACCATATATCCATCAAATATTTAAGGAATGGCTATCATGAGCCAAACACCGTTTTAGATATTTTAAAATACTTACAACATTCTTTTGATAAAAATAAATGAAACAAAAATCCCTGCCTTTCTGGAACTTAGCTTCTAGTAATGTTTGATACTTTTGCTATTGAATTTTATAGTTTTACATCTGCAGCTCTTATGAGCTCTTATGGATCTTTCTACTCCAATTCACTTTTTTAAAAACATTATTCCCCAATTATTCTGTTCAAATGGAAGAGGTTGTAATATAATTCTCTGTTTTACTTATTTACGTATTTATGATCTTTAGACTATATCCAGAGATACTCAGGGTTTACTCCTGGCTGGGCACCCAGGAATTACTTGTAGCAGTGCTTTGGGGATCATTTGGGACTCCTGGGATCAAAACTGAGTAGGCCAAATGTAAGGCAAATGCCCCATCTACTTGTACTATTTATCTGGCCCATAATTCTCCCTTTTAAAACAAATCAACTAGTGGTTCCATATCTCTTTCTCAAAAATTCTTCATGAAGCGTTTACCTCACCATAACCCAAATTCTGGTTAGTTTTAAATTACTTATTGAAGGTCTGCTCAAAAGCAGGGATCTATAATCCCCTCTGGAGAATCAAGTGTTAATTTTACTGTAAGTTTGATATTTCAAGACACCAAAAGACAAACTAATCATAGGAGTTCACCATACATTCCTTTTCTACTAAATAAGTACTCACAAGTGTCTTAGCTAATGAAATCCTCTGTTGCTTTCAGTCTTTTGCTAGAATGTTTCTGATTTTTGCAACCAAGAGTAATTGTTTGCTCAGAATGGGGGCAGGGAAAGAGTTTGGGAAAGAAAGTTCAGCTTTTCTGGGGAAAATCCAGATCACCTCTTTCAGCAACTGGGAAGGGTGCCTGCTTATTTTTCATCTTCTATTTTTTCTGGGGAAGGCTGCTGATTTCCTAAACAATAGACATGTCCTTGTATAAATATTTTCATGTTTTTCTAAGGCAGAAATGTGTCTCTCTCTTTTTTTTTAGAAAAACTGAATAGCGATCCTACAGTATAGCTACCTTGTCAGAGCCTGGGAAGGAAACAGAAGCAACATTAAAAATGGTTTAACTGAAAAGAATACAATGCAGGGGCTATTTAGAGTTAAGGAAGCTGCCACAGTGGGAAAGCGGTTACCAAGCTTGGATAAAAGGGACACCCAAAGAAATTAGAGGCCCAGGAAGGAAGGAGCCAGTGTAGCTACAGTGGGACACAGAATAGCGAACATTTTGGCCTAGCTCAAAAAAGTCAAAAGCTCAAGGTTAAGAAGGCCTTGGCTACACACTCACAAATGTCAGCATCCCAGGGCAGAGCATGGCAGAAAGATGGTGCCAATAAATTTGGAGAGGGAAACAGAAAAAAATAAAATAAAATGAATTTCATAAATAAAACTACCTGTCAAGAAAGTTGAAAATCCCCATAAAACTACTAAATACCAACTTCTTCTTCCCAGGTTTAACTTACTAGGCAATTTTCTGCCTAGTATAGGAATCAGCACAGGGTGTGTGTGTGTGTGTGTGTGTGTGTGTGTGTGTGTGTGTGTTTGGCGTGTGTGTGTGTGTGTTTGGCATGTGTGTGGGAGGGTGTTGTTGTTGGGCTATACATTCAGGGGTTACTCTTGGCTCTGTGCTCAGGGGTCACTCCCAGAAATACTAGGGACTTTCTACCGCGACCCCCAGCAATGTTTTATGAAAGGATCCAATTATAAATATTAAAAAATTTGAGAACTATAATCCCCAAATGACATATTTTTTTATACCATCACCCTGCATGGAGTCATTTGAAAACACATTCATAAGGCAGCTTATGCAAACACAGTGACTTAGATTTGATCTGTAGGTCATAGTTGACCAAGCTGTGGGTCCTAGAAAATCTCAAGTTTTTTAAGGTAAAGACAATTTTTTTTTTCTCTATGTCAGGTTCAAAGAAAACCTTCTGTCTGTGACTTCTAGCGGAGCATTGTTTGAGGTGTAGCACAGTGGACTCTTGCGAGCTTCCTCCAGTCTTCCTTTCTTTCTCATCTCTGCTCGGTAGTTGGGCTTCAGTCTCCAGTGAGGGCAGCTCTTCGCCGCAGGAAACAGAAAACGTTATCTGTTCCTCTTTCTGAAATAATCTCAGGGAAGCATTCTGCTTGACCTCTCTGGGGCACTCCCACCATTTGTGGGTGGCAGGGAGGGTGGAGGAGGGAGTGTGTGTGTGTGCTGGGGGGGCGGGGGAGCTGCTTTGATTGCCCAGGCCTGGGAGAGGACCCCGACTCCCTAGGAAGATCTCCCAAAGGGAGGCCGAGTTCTCTTGCCAGCCGCTGCACGTCGCATTTCGGAGCAGACTGTCACTCGCCCAGCCATGGTGTGACATGCCCACGTGGTGTAGGCATCCCCGATACTGATGAATGAATCGCTTCCCCCAGCGAAGGGGGGTGGGGGGTGGGGGGAAGGAAGCCTGTTCTCCGCACGGATTTGTATCGATTGCTCTTCAGAAAATCATTTTTTTTTCCCCGGGAGGGACAGGGCGGGCAGGGGGTGTACTGGGGGGTGGGAATACCCCTATTATCTTTCTTCTATCCCCCAAGGCAATGAGTGTCTGAGCCAGCCAGGCTCCTGGGGGCAGCATAGGGGGGGGTGCGGCACAGCTCAAGCCCAGCACCCCGGAACGTCAGGCCACCCTTGACCACCCCGGGGACTCCAAAGACGACCCGCGGTGGCCGGTGGCGTGGCGAGGTTCTGGAGGCAAAGCCCCTTCCCACGCAGCCCCGCACGGAGAGGAGAGCCCCGATCCTTCGCCCGGGAGGGAAACCGGGCTCGGGGGTGGGCTGGGGTGGGTGCGGGGGTAGCTCCGGGGCGCGTCACTCGGCACAAAGGAGCGGCGAGCCAGCCACTCGCCGCGGCGGCCGCAGCCCCGGCGCTCCCCTCCCCTCCCCACCACTCCCCTCCCCTCCCCTCCCCCGGGCGTCCCCGCCCGCTTTCTGGCTCCTCTCTCCCTCCGTAGCGGCCGGCCCGGGGCCATTTCCGGCCTCCGCCGCTCCGCTCTCGCGCCGGCCCGGGGGGCGTCGGGGAGCAGGTGGCCCCGCGGCCTTTGTCGCCGGGCGCCGCGTCCGGGACCTGCCGCTGCGTGCGGGGCCGCGCTCCCGCGGCGAGGTGGGTGGGGGGCGGCAGCCCGGATCCCCGGCCGACATGGCAGAAGTCGGCATCGATCAGTCCAAGCTGCCCGGCGTCAAGGAAGGTAAGAGGGTCGCGGGGGTGGGGTGGGGTGGGCGTGAGAGCCGGCTGGGGACACCCCTCGGCCCCGGGCCCGCGTCCAGGCTTGGGGAGGTGAGGAGGGGGGCCGGGGCTGGAAGGGCGCTCGAGGAAGCTGGGGGCTGGGGCGAGCCCCCCCGCAGGTTGGAGCTCGGGGCTTTGCATTTTTCATCCCCCCTCCCTTGCCGCCTCTGGAAGGAGACGGGGGTCCTGGGGCAGCACCCGCCGCCGCAGCCCCCGGAACGCGGGGCCCAGGGTGCAGCCGTGCAGCTGTGCCCTTAGAAAACCCGGGCCCGGGCCGCGCTGACCCGAGGAGCTGGGGCTGGGGGAGGGGTTGACCCCCCGGTTCCCGGTTGTTTTGAAACTTGACTCTCCCGCCCCCCACCCTCCCCCATCCCCTCTGGACTTTTCCTTGTCCTGCCTCTGGCTGGCTGGGGCTGACTTTTTTTCCCCTCCTCCTTGAAGGCTTGAAAGTTAAGTCCTGGCATTGCCTGGCGCGGCTTCGGGCCACAGCTGGAAGCCTTTTTTTTTTTTTTTTTTGCCTTTCTTTAAACCAAAAATAAAATGGAAATAAAATTTAAAAAGAAAAGCAGACAGGGACTGACCAGCGACCTTGAGCTAAAAGGGTTCCCCGGATTGCATGGCCAGGGAAGTAAGGATAGGTTGGGACTGGCGTGGTTTGCAAATAAAGCCAGGAGCCCTTGACTTCCCCTGCCCTGCCAGGTTTGGCTAATCTCCCCCTTCCCGGCACCCCCAGGGGTCTAGCCGTGATTTGTGAGCTGGATGCTGGTTTCCCCGCTGTAACCTTTATGGTGATCTTTGGTGGTTCCTTGGTCTCTCAAGTGCTGTCCAGTGCTTGCAGCGGCTGGCTCGGTGTGTGTGGTGGCGGCGGCGGCGGGGTGTCATTTGTTTGGAGCTGGCCTTTGTGGTCTCAACTGTCTTGGGAATGTGGAATTGAATATACGGATCTTTGCTTTCGTAGAACGCCTTGTTTCATCACCAGTTTGATTAGACTCCAGTGGTCTTTGTGAGTGCTCAGGCATTACCCCACCAACAATCTGCAGAAAGCTGCCTTTCCAGAGTTCCAAGGCTACAAGACAGACCTCAGTTCTTAGTAAAGGTGCCAGGCCTGTTCAGTTGCTCGGGAAGGGTATTTTAGAACCTCGACTTGAGGTGTTTTTTTTTTTTTTAATGGCACTGTTATTTTTCGACCCTTCAGTCCCAGGTCTGACTTTGGTGATGATTCTGGCATTCCCCCGTGCAAACGTAGATTGCACAAGCACTGTCTGGGGGACCCGGGCAATAACAGGAAGGGCAGAGCTACACTTTTAAAGTTCTTGTCTTTGGGATTGGTTGCCCTTGGCCTTGTGAGTATGGCATGTATGTGTCCAGGGCCAAAGGGATCCTTAGGTGTTGTCTAGTTTGCTCCAGAGGGTGGGTAATTAGTAGGAGGAGAATCACAGTTTAAACAAAACCTTACCCTGCAAAGCATTAATCATATAGCACCACCATGTTACCCAGTGCCCTATATCTGCTAGTGACCTGGAATAAACTTGAAGTTCATTTTTTCTAGACGTGTTTGAAATTCGTTTTTTGCTGTTCTGGTTTCTGACCAAGACATTAGTGTTCTAGAATATATATATATATATATATATATATATACACACACACACATATATATATATATATACACACACACACACACACACATATATATATTTTTTTTTCGGTTGGAGCATTAGCACAGCGGGTAGGGCATTTGCCTTACCCACGGCAGGCCCGGTCGGCCCAGGTTCAATTCTTCCGCCCCTCTCAGAGAGCCTGGCAAGCTACGAGAGTATCTCTTCGGCATGGCAAAGCCTGGCAAGCTACCCTTAACATATTTGATATGCCGCCAAACACAGTAACAAAAAGTCTCACAATGGAGATGTTACTGGGCCCGCTGGAGCAAATCGATGAACAACCGGATGACAGTGGTACAGTGCTATATATATATATATATATATATATATATATTTTTTTTTTTTTTTTTTTTTTTTTTTTGCTTTTTGGGTCACACCTGGCGATGCACACAGGGGTTGCTCCTGGCTCATGCACTCATGCACTCAGGCACTCAGGAATTACTTCTAGTGGTGCTGGGGGTCAATATTGGATACTGGGACTTGAACCCAAGTTGGCTGTATGCAAGGCAAATGCCCTACCCGCTGTGCTATCACTCCAGCCCCTAGAATATATTTTTTTGAGGGGCGGGGGGAATTACATTCTGGTCCATGCCTGACTATGCTCAGAGCTTACTCCTGGCTCTATGCTCAGGGATCAGTCCTGGGGCTATATAGGGCTATATAGCCTGTAAGTATCCTACTGTCCTCCGGTTGTTCATCGATTTGCTTAAGCGGGCCCAGTAACGTCTCCATTTTTTTCGAGACTTCTTGTTACTGTGTTTGGCATATTGAATACATCACGGTAGCTTGCCAGGTTTTGCTGTGTGGGCAAGATACTCTCGGTAGCTTGCCAGGCTCTCTGAGAGGGGCGGAAGAATCGAACCCCGCTCGACCGGGCTGGCTGTGCGCAAGGCAAATGCCCTACTGCTGTGCTATCGCTCCAGCCCGTAGGTATCTTACCTGCTGTAATATCTAGGCCTTCTAGCATACTCTTAAGGATTAAGCAAATACTTTCCATCTAAAAAAGCAAGAATTTTCTTTCCTGATCTCTGGAGTTTAATAGTTTCACTTTTCACAATTGATGTATTTACATATGACTGGAAATTTAATGTGACTTTTTAATGAAGTTGGAATTAGATGTTTATTAATTTTGAAGGTGATCAGAAATTCTTTGTAACTATTATATTATCTTTGTAAGTATCTGACTTTTATAGATCCAAGACTCTCAAAGTAAATGCTGTATCAGGAACATCCCAACAGTGGTGTTAATTTTGATCTGGGCAACATTCAAGATTAATGAAGTGTTTCTCTCTCTAATATAACACTTAATTATGACCCTCTTTGGACCCTAATTAAAGAGTAGAATGCTCTTACCTGCAGTTGAGTAATATACACACAAACATTGAGACTACTTACAAACACACAAACATTGATACTCCAATTTGAAACGGGAGTTTGCTAGTAATTTGCTTTAGAGTTTGGCACAGATCTTTTTAATTCCACTCTATAAAAATCTTCCTTTTCTCTTTTTTTTTCTTTTCTTTTCAGTCTGTACCTTCGGTAGGTTTATAGATAATTGCAGTTAGGGTTTCTGGTGGTAAAACCCAGTAGATATTGAGAATAATAATTGAGCTGATGAGTGCCCCTTTTCATAGTTTTTCTTTTAGGAACTGGTAGTGAACACTGTGGCCTTTGCTGGGCGCATTTCTGGAGAGGTCATGAGTAACAGCTGACATTTGAGTGAGGGAAATATTTGAAAAATTTATTTTCTGGATTAAAATTCAATGCTTACTCGGCTTCATGGCAGTCAAAGAGATTCATCTTTTGGATAGATCTTTCTGTAGAAAATATGGTAATACTTTTGCTTTGGCATGCCTCGCCTAAAATAGGGAACAAAGGATGGAATTTAAGTATGGGTAGGTGCATGGGTAGGTGAAAGGAATTAAAGTTGAACTAGATGTCAACACACATCCTTATTTTGGCTTTAAAAGCATATTTGGAACATTGCATATTATCTTTGTAGTGGAAATACTCTTGCCAGTGTTTAGGAACAATACTTTATTTATTTGAAACTAGAGGTTCTGTGCAAACAGATTTGAAATTGTTCCCAGAGCCTTTTAAGAAATTAGTCGATATATAACTCAACTGCACTATATGCAGTTTGCAAATAGTAGCCAAAGGAATAGTCATTCAGAAAGTTTATATCAGAGGTGGCGAGCAGTTTTTAGTGGAAACAGGAGGTGCGTCATACCTGTCTCTGCTCAGGCCTACTCCTGACTCTGTGCTCAGGAATAAATTGTGACGGTGCCAGGGGTCAGATCAACTGTATGCGAGGCAAATACCTAACCCACTGTACTTTCTCTTGTCCCCTGAACAAGTAATTTTAGTCACTTGACAAATCTATATTTGAAAGGCCAGACTTCCTCCTTTTTCTTTTCAGTCTCTAGTTATGATACCTTACCATCACTTAGTTAAATTGCTCAGTCATTTCTGTTCTTTCCTAACATGTAATAAAGGTTTCATATTGTCATAAGGTTTTGGTCACTGCACATTAACCTAGACATCAAAACTCTTCCCTGCCCCCCATCCCCAACTATATATCAATCCTTTACAATTTTTTCTTTTTTTTTTTTTGAGTGGGGAGGGTGGTCACACCCTCCAATGCTCAGGGTTCCTCCTGGCTCTACATTCAGAAATTACTCCTGGCAGTGTTCGGGGAACCATATAGGATGCCGGGGATCATACTGTGGTTTTTTGCATGAAAGGCAAATGCCCTACCTGCTGTACTATCACTCCAGACCCCCTTCCAATATTTAAGGCATTGGTTTCCCACTATTAGCCAGTTAATCCTTATATTTCAACTCTCCCATCTCCTCCTGTAACTACCTGTCCCCTCCCCCCGCCCCGCGCCCCAGTAGTAAGTACGTTTACTTGGTGTTGTATATTGTGTTTTTTAAATGAGAAATGTCACCATCTCCAGAGTTGGTTAATTATGTATGTGTACATATTTATCAGTGTGCCTTGGAGTGCCTGATTTCTTGAAGTAAAGATAGGTATTTTGAAAGCAGATCCTTTTTCTTTGGTGAAAGATTTGTACATTTGCAAGTACATGCTAGAAAGTATTGATTTATTTTAGGCCCTGGACACTCCCGTGGCAAAGTAAATTAATGACATCAATTCAGAATCATAAATGTGTGTCTGATGTAGCAAGTTAACATGGCAGCATCTGCGAATTGTATATCTGGCAAGCGAGCAAACTTACTTTCTTGTGTTTTCAAATTACTATAGCAGTTTTGTTGTTTAATGAGATCATGTCTGGATTTCC